ACGCACACACACACACACACACACAGACGCACACACGCTCGCACATACGCCCCAGCAGACAAACGACATTGATTCACCGTTGAATCAACGTTACTTTTGGTGGATCAACGTTGAATCAACGTGGAATCAATGTCGTTTGCCTGCTGGGGCATGACTTGATAAAACCACATTGTTTTAAAAAACGGCTATAGTGTGTTACAAAGAATCATGATTCAAGTAAAAATAAAACAGCTTACTCAGTTGCTTTTAACAAAAAAATCTAAAGGCAGCTTACCTCGTTTATATTCTTAACTACTCTTTAGACCAAGTCCGACATCGTCTTCGCACCTAAGTCCTCACAGAGTTGTTAACTTGTTAACGTTTAAAAGGTATATCACACATCGGTAAATATTTTACAGGTGAACCAGCTACTTAAATTGTGGATAAATCGTAAACGAAACTTTGGCCGGGAAAATGCAAGCCCGACTTAACGAGTTTGCCAGCGTGACTTTTAATTCAATGAATAAACCCCAGACCCTAGCAGTCGCTCCCAAGGACGTTATCTTGTGTCTGCTGATTTTTTTTTAAAGTGATGTTATGCCTGTCATGTCTGTCACAGATACAATACAGCTGATCAAGATTTAGGTGAGTTACCTGAGAGGTTCGTACTGCGCTGCCAGTTACTTGGTAACGACATTTACAATATATGACCAATGGAGTCATAAATATATGGAGCCAAGATACGGCTGAGACGTGCATGTCGGGAAGAATCAAATAGACTGTATACGCCACGATACTAAGGTAAATTTCCATTTTTATCCAGTAGTAAGCTTAATCTAAAACTCTCCAAACCAACACTTTTTCCTCTGAAAAATACTTGCAGTCATCGTAATCGAAAATGATTGATATTTGGTCACTGATATAATAGGAGCTGCATGGAAACCTAATTGACTGTTTTCGTTGCTTTTTTTTCCGAAACGCAAGGTCATCATTTACATAGAATTTGTGAACATATTGTAACAATTGGAGTAACTGGGTCTACGAATCCGCTATAAGAAATCATTATAAATAAAGTAAATACGGGCTTCAAGATCGTCTGCTATAACCTGTTTCTATTTTTATTTATCTATCTATTTTTTATTTTGCACTTAATCTTACCTAAAAATTTCGTTTTCCTTAGAGCCACATGTCCTGGGGTTTATCCATACAAACTCCGTAGTTTAGTCTTTCATTTAAATCCGAAATAAGGGAAAAATAGCCCTAAATCTTCAATGTTAGTGACACTTCCATGCTCAACGACCATGCTGTTGGGTCGCGACCCTGACCTTTGACCGCAGCGCGTGCATGACGTAGTGGAGTCTATAAATAGGGCTTCAGAGCTCAAAGCGGGGCCTTCAAAATCCTTAATCCACGGTATGGGCTCTAAAGCCCGCCGCACACAGACAATTTTTTCGCCGGCCGATCGGTCGTCCTGGATGAGATCAACGCACACACACGACAAGCTGTCGCAACAAAGCGCCAACTGGTGTGGTGAAAGTGACGTAGTTATTATCTCGTCCGCGAGGTGGGGCGTTGTTTCAAAATGGCTGCAATTTGTAATGATAAGAGTTAAAATTAAATGTAAGAGTATAACAAGATTACTTAAATTAATTTAATTGAAAAATGAGCAATTTGAAATGCCCAAATTTTCTAAATCAACGCAATACTCATAGACCATAAAAATACAGCCTATAGGATGACAACAGTTTGTCAGTTTAGACAGATTTAGTCGCCTCGATGCAGCGTTACGTCGTTGAATGGTTTACGACGCTGAAAATTAAAAAAATAATAATAATAATAATACTAATACTAATAGAAAATTACTGGGGGCATCCATATTGAATTCTGACGTGGGCACGTGATATCAGATGGCGCAACCATTGGCTGAAGATAATGATCAGCGCGACAAATTGTCGTAGGAAAGCGCACACACTACGGTACGACGTTTAAAAATCAAACATGTTTGATTCTCTCCCGACTAGTTGAAAAGTTGTCATGGAGCAGCGCAGACAGGCCGATATTTTGTCGTAAGTGTGTCGGCCGACAAAAAATCATTCTGTGTGCGGCGGGCTTTACGGCCTGTTTACGTCCAAATTTTGCGCAGACTCTTACGTGCCACGAAAGTTCCTTTTTGCAGAATTTGGAGTTCGCAGACAGCCCGTAAGCACGTACGCATACTATTGTCTTAAGGCNTTAACACCTCAAGTATCTCACTTATTGTGTTTGTTAGTTAGGTTAAAAACAGGATTGCGACTACCAATGCCTACCTGTGTATTTGTAAATAAACGGACCCCGCCCTACGCGAACGCGACGATAATCCATGCGTAACAGTTACTTCATAAAACCTTTTAAAACCCCCGAATATGTCGAAAAGCAATGCGGCAGAAGGAAAATAAGACTTGGCGCCGCAGCCCTGGTCTTAAAAGCCACTCTGTCCATCAGAAACGCCGAGGAACGTCCCCTAGCGTTCTTCTGTGAAGACCTTACCTTCAGCGAGTGAGGTAATTAAGTCTACAAGACAGCGGGTTTAAAATCGTTATAAACCTCGGCTATCCAATGTTTTCGCCGTGATATGGGTTCTGCCAGTTTGCCGCTGACCCCAGAGTGAACACTATGTCTCTGGGCAGATGATGCGGTCACCACAGTGAATATATCATCTTTATGGAGAAATCCTCTCTTAGCCAAAATTCCCTACCTCATATAAACTGCACTCACCATACATTTCGTACCGCTCTGCAATAATACAACTAGAACTACTTTACGTGTACTTGTGGACAATATTGACAAACTCCCCTGCTTGTTAAGCTAACAACTAAAACAGAAAAAAGGCATCACCTGTGCATTTCCACCTGCTGTACCTCTAAACATGGCGCCTGTACCCAGCTCTGCCGTGTCAGTTTAATATCGATTTCCCTCCCTCTCTGTATAGAGCTGCACAGCGCTGGCTTTCTCCTTATTTAACACGTGAACTTCTATTGTTCGCGGCTGCAGCATTGCTAATAATTGTATAGAGGGCCCGGCCTGTGTGTTATATATAGAAATATATAGATGTACCTGCACCTTGTACAGGTTGACAACAGGGTTGTGTAAAACTTGCGATAAACACTGTAATTATCATAAATCTGTCACATCTTGATGTATTATATAACTAAAAAAGTTGGCCTGAACTTCAGTATCAAAATGTTAAAACAACTTTGAACCGTCATACAAAGAAAGAAAGACGGGTGGATGCAGATCAATTATCAAATGTAGAAGACGGAAAATATTGGGTGTTAAAGTTATGGTTAAGTTTTCGGTTGTAAAGCCGTAGGTGTAGATAAAACCGATTCTCGGGATCTTGTTTCTGAAAGGGTTTTCAGTTCTTCGCTAAGGGAAGGCTGCAGAACTGAACCGGTACAGATTAGTCATTACTATATCACGGCATATTATTTACACGTACATGTACCGTGTAGTTTTCCATAATAAATATTGTAAACCACTAAGCTGCCTGTGGTCGTCCCTCGATTATAACCTCTTAGTGCAACCTGACCTCAGAAGTCATACAGTGCAATAGCATGTGCCAGTAAATGTGCTTGAATTTTTAGTGGTTGATTAAAATATCAGTGTTATAGTGTGGACTCACGGGATCTCTGCGACGTCGCTCAGCCTAATACCACTACATGTGTACCCGTACGCTGTTCAATTCCAGGCGACCGACTACGCTATGAGAGACTGGCGTAATAGGGACAATATTGAAACAGTAGTGAAATTATCGTAATAATAATGACATAATTTAAAGAAAAATCTTAATACAGTGCAAGTGTCCCCGAGTAGGAAGTCTAATGTAACGTCTGTTTTAACCAAGGTCAGACTGGGTTTCCATGCCTAACTCCCTGGGGAGTCTCACTAAATTGCTGTCAACTTGACCGGCTTAAATGTCTGTTACGCCTTGTAAAGCTGTTAAGGGGTAATTATCTTTAACCCCTAGCTGATTCGGTCCAAGTATGCAGTAAGTAGGTAAACTCTTTTTCCTTTTTATAGTGAGGTGCTACATAAAAGGGAAAAAGACTTTACGTAACTACTGCATGAAAGACGCGAAGCGTTTAAATGTGACGTAGGTAAAAACGTTCCAACATACCCGCCTAAATATTAGTTCATTGGGAAATACAAAAGATAGCGTTTTTCTTTGGTTACAGTGCGGTTGCAAAATGAGGTTTTACAAAGATGTTTTTTCTATTATGAACAACATATTTTAATAGGCGTTAAACAAAAAAGGACCCTTACTGAAATACATTTTCCTGTAAATCTCGCTACTGTTTTAGAGAACTAGACTGACGACATCATCAATACCAATACACACTGAGACGAGCCTATTTTCAGCCTTCCCATGGCTGACCTGACACGTGTCAAGACGTGATCTGACACTGATCTTGTGCCTTTGTGTTTCCATGGGCTGCCATATTACAAATACAGAGGCTTTTGTTGTTGTTGTTGTTGTTGTTGTTAAAGATACGTTAGTACATGTATACATCATAAAATCTGAGCGATATATATATCCAGAATTGTTTGTATGTTTTCTATGATTCGCATGCTTTTTAGGTGATAAATGTGTGCACATTTTAGCATATAAGTTTTAACATGCTTACTTTTACTTCTCTCGATCATTACAAACACACATGGCATGCACGCATACTTACACATGTACAGGCAAACGTATGCAAGCAAACACACATACATACACACACACACACAGACGCACACACGCTCGCACATACGCCCCAGCAGACAAACGACATTGATTCACCGTTGAATCAACGTTACTTTTGGTGGATCAACGTTGAATCAGCGTGGAATCAATGTCGTTTGCCTGCTGGGGCATGACTTGATAAAACCACATTGTTTTTATAAAACGGCTATAGTGTGTTACAAAGAATCATGATTCAAGTAAAAAATAAAACAGCTTACTCAGTTGCTTTTAACAAAAAAATCTAAAGGCAGCTTACCTCGTTTATATTCTTTACTACTCTTTAGACCAAGTCCGACATCGTCTTCGCACCCAAGTCCTCACAGAGTTGTTAACTTGTTAACGTTTAAAAGGTATATCACACATCGTTAAATATTTTACAGGTGAACCAGCTACTTTAATTGTGGATAAATCGTAAACGAAACTTTGGCCTGGAAAATGCAAGCCCGACTTAACGAGTTTGCCAGCGTGACTTTTAATTCAATGAATAAACCCCAGACCCTAGCAGTCGCTCCCAAGGACGTTATCTTGTGTCTGCTGATTTTTTTTTAAGTGATGTTATGCCTGTCATGTCTGTCACAGATACAATACAGCTGATCAAGATTTAGGCGAGTTACCTGAGAGGTTCGTACTGCGCTGCCAGTTACTTGGTAACGACATTTACAATATATGACCAATGGAGTCATAAATATATGGAGCCAAGACACGGCTGAGACGTGCATGTCGGGAAGAATCAAATAGACTTTATACGCCACGATACTAAGGTAAATTTCCATTTTTATCCAGTAGTAAGCTTAATCTAAAACTCTCCAAACCAACACTTTTTCCTCTGAAAAATACTTGCAGTCATCGTAATCGAAAATGATTGATATTTGGTCACTGATGTTATATAATAGGAGCTGCATGGAAACCTAATTGACTGTTTTCGTTGCTTTTTTTTTTCGAAACGCAAGGTCATCATTTACATAGAATTTGTGAACATATTGTAACAATTGGAGTCACTGGGTCTACGAATCCGCTATAAGAAATCATTATAAATAAAGTAAATACGGGCTTCAAGATCGTCTGCTATAACCTGTTTCTATTTTTATTTATCTATTTATTTTTTTATTTTGCACTTAATCTTACCTAAAATTTCGTTTTCCTTAGAGCCACATGTCCTAGGGTTTATCCATACAAACTCCGTAGTTAAGTCTTTCATTTAAATCCGAAATAAGGGAAAAATAGCCCTAAATCTTCAATGCTAGTGACACTTCCATGCTCAACGACCATGCTGTTGGGTCGCGACCCTGACCTTTGACCGCAGCGCGTGCATGACGTAGCGGAGTCTATAAATAGGGCTGTAGAGCTCAAAGCGGGGCCTTCAAAAACCTTAATCCACGGTACGGGCTCTTACGGCCTGTTTACGTCCAAATTTTGCGCAGCATCTTACGTGCCACGCAAGTTCTTTTTGCAGAATTTGGAGTTCGCAGACAGCCCGTAAGCACAAACGGATAATATTGTCTTAAAGATTCTACGAATAATCTGCGAAAAGCAAGGCCGCAAGCGTATCTTGCCCCCCTCGCAAGGAGTTCCCAAGTGGGCGAAGCAAGTGGTAAGCAATGAAGGTGCGTGTTGAGTACGGCGTACGCCCTCACAACCAACGAACGAAGTCAAAAGCGTGGCAGGAATGCGTCGTACATGCGTCATCCCTACGCCAGGAGTGTGAAAAGGCGTGCTCACGACACACTCTAGTATCTCGACAATTAACGTCGATTGTGCAACGTGTAAGGGCCTACAACATTTTTTAAAATTTTAGAATTTTGCTCATTTCAGCTTCTAATATGCCCCCAAAGGGCAAAGGAAAGAAGCTTAGAGAGCAGAAAAGAAGGGAGGAGGGAAAAGAAAGAAGGGGAGAACAGGAGGCAAAACTGACGTACGCCGTCAGTAGGCTACCTCATCTCAAGCGTGTGAGGCAAGTAGCCTATGAAGCAAAAGTGACGTAAAGGGAACTACTTTCGCCATGCGTTACATTTTCTTCATAAATGGCGAGTTCGTGCCACGTACGCAGGTAGCAAGACAAATTCTAGAAAGGTATACAATTTCCACGGCCATTGCGCCTTGCAATTTGCGACCCTGCTTGAAAGGACATCTCACGTGGCCCCTGCGACTCAGAAGGCAGTCTTGCGCCTTTCCATTGCAAACTTTCCTCCACCTCTATGAACTCCACGGATTTTTCTGCAACCAAAATTCGCAGGAGACGATCCTAAAATTCGTGCGTGCGGTTGTGACTGAGTCTTTACAGAGATTCCCTGTTCCACCGAAATTCTTTCCACCAGCTAGTGTCAGTGAGTTAGATTCTTTCTTATTTATTAGTCTTCCCCTGCGGGGGTAACTCGTCTTCCGTTCAACCTCATGTATTTAAGAAGGGATTTTAATATAACTTACCTTAATTTTATTAGTTACCAGTAGTTACGTTCTTTGTTTAGATCCTCCCCGTAGCTTACTCGCCACCCTGCCTTAGATTAACTGTTTCCACTCACTTGTATTATTTTGCACTCTATGTCGGAGACATTTAATATTTCATAGACAATGTCAATAATTTCAAGTCATAACTTTTATTGTATTCTCTATAATACATTGTGTCAATTTTGAAGAAGCTGAGTAAGGCTTGTTTACCTGTCGCATAAAGAAGCCAGTGATAAGGAAGTGTATGAAGCCATTGGCTGGAGTACGTACTAAAGTGTGTAATATTGAATAGAGAGTCAGAATGTACCTGAGCAGGCAACGAGTTCACATTAAACGATTGAAACTGGTCATTTTTGTCAGTGTGGATTTCCTCTTTAGCGTTCAGACGTAACGATTTCGACCGCGAATCTGGAAGGTTATACTAAAGCGTTATCCTAACTAAAAGTGTCCAACGGTGTCGGTATTTCGAGCCTAATTCTAAATTACGTTTGTATCTAAATTTGCTCGGTTCCGGACATCTAGTTAAGCATGGAGATATTGGTCCCTTGGTTGCAGATGCTTTGTGTTCCTGGCCAAGCTTCCTGCAGTTTATGATGGCGAAGAGAAGTGCACATCTCATCCCTGGGTGAAAGGCCGTACGGGTCCGGGGCGCCATTGGTGAAGCGCAGACGTCAGCTTGGAGCTGTTGATGATGTTCCAGTCCAATTGCGCAGTGGTTTCTTCCGAGATGGACATGATTGTATTTTGTCCCTTTTAGTTGTCCGGCCTGGATCGTCGGGTATGTTATTCAGCCAGCTGAAACCAAGAAGAAACAAAGTGATGGTCAAGGTCATCCTACATCAACGATGTCGACCTACACAGCGTTGCCAGCAGAGATGTCAGATGTCGTCACACACTACCCAACTCCACCGACGATGTTGTTGCACGTGGTGCCATCAACGAAGTTGTCCTAGGCAGAGTTACTAGCGGAGATGTCAGATGTCGATGCATGCTACCCAACTCCGCCTACGATGTCGTCACATACTACGTCATATATATATATATAGCTAGGGTTCTTCGCACGCATCACCATAATCTCAATTTTATAGACTTTCATGACTATAAGTCAGGTGATATTCACCATTGACTGAAAATTTTATTGTCGATTTTTGCGTTTAATAAAAATGTTAAAAACATAAATCGGCCTCGTTATTTCTGAAGGACAGGGGTATACTTTCCCTGCGAAACAGTTCCCATGTTGCGCTCGGGGCAGACCCCTCGCGTTACAATATTTTAACAGATCATAATTTATCTTTATTATTTGTGGTTGTTTAAAACATGTTTGACATCCATTTTGAAGTCTCTACGCGAAACTTATTAACAGTTTACCGACAGCATAACATCGACAAATGGATTGCCGTAAAAACTGGAAATCTCACATTTCAAATGGAGCTTGCGTAGTGTTTTAATTAATACATGTAAATAGTAGTCATAAATTTTACTCATCATAACTGTGTTTCCATGTCAGTAAAATTGACAGCACTGGTAGTCTGCGAGGCAGTTGTTTACATTAATTTATATCATTATTAGGTATGTTTATGTTAAATTAAAGATATACCTGGTAACAACAATTCGTTTCTGGTAAAAAACGGATTTTCCTGGGGTAAACGACGATTTTCTCATACTTACCAATGGTTAAGGAATTCATTCCGTCATTCAGATTAGCTCATTTTTTTTTCTAAAAAAATTAGGTCTTTTTTTAGGTCTCTTACGTGAAGCCATCTTTGAATGTCTACGTGGTCTGATGATAAGCACAGATTCCAGAGTAATTGCGCTAACCGCAGTTTTGGTGGTAAAATGGAATTTATTATATTTCAATGAGTTGTTTACGATGCATTTATTAGAAAAAAATGAATCTCATGCGCAGAGTTGTCATCTCTTTAAACTCTGCTGAACAAACTCAAAATCTGCTGCTTTTCACCCTTGTTTTACACCTGTATTTTGTAAGGGCACGTGTCCACGTACTAGTCATCTTTACCACACTGGTCACGTGACCACCCTGATCTCTTTTTAAAACAACCAATTTCTTTCTGTTTACTTCATTTTATTTTCTTTTTGATTAAATGAGAAATCATGTTGAAATACAGGTATACACATACTGGGTACTTAAAAAAAGGTTAGCAAAATAATTGAAAGACGAACATGACATTTTTTTTTCTTTTTGAAAGCATGTTGACAGTGATATATTTAAACGTGGTAATCCGGGACTTTATTCAAGCCGAGTCTATACAGAATGATAAAAGTAATGAGAAGATTTGCCAGGAAGTGGAACCCTATCTGCAGGAGGTTCCTCAGCTCCCACGTGACCAGCTGACACAGACACATCAGTATACTGGTCACGTACGTCTTGGACTTCTTCCAGCGAGAGTGGGTATACAGCAGGAATATCTGAAATATGGAGGAATAGTGGGTATACAGCAGGAATATCTGAAATATGGAGGAATAGTGGGTATACAGCAGGAATATCTGAAATATGGAGGAATAGTGGGTATACAGCAGGAATATCTGAAATATGGAGGAATAGAAGGTATACAGCAGGAATATCTGAAATATGAAGGAATAGCAGGGAATGAATTTGGAGATTATTTTGGTTGCAGATGTTGGGCCTTGTGTACTACTGAGTAGTATGGCACAAAGTACTACTGGCAGCAGTACAAGAAATATAATTTATGGCTACAATTACATTAAATCATTTGATTAATTAATTAATTAATTAATTTATTTATTACTAAAATCACCTTAAAAGATGAATAAAAGAATAAATATATATAATAATACAAAAAAAAAAAAAACAGTAATTAAAATGATTTTAAGAGCATTCCCGCCAACATATATTCTTTTAAGAGTCTGTTCTGATAGCTGGGGCTGTTTACTAAGGACCTCAGCGTATCAACCAGTCCTGCCGGTGCATGCAGGTCCGCATCTTTTTCTGTTTGCTGAGACAGTATATTTAAAGTTAGGAGCTACACATAAATACATGTCCCACTTAATTTATTAGTGGAAGGATTCCTAATTCTCTTTTTCTCTATTTCATGTGTATCTCTCAGTTTAAAGGATATCTGCAACAACTTTAACCTCATACCACATATGAGGATAACTTCATAGAATAGCTTAAGTAAAAGTTAACCTTAACTTTGATACCCAAACTTTTAGTTAGCATTGTTTTAAGATAATTCAAAAGGTGGAGGTCCACTAAAATAGGAATATGAGACATATTTCACTAAAAGTAAGAAATATTTAATCCCAGCCTACCTGATATATACAGAAGAGACTTGTGAGCATGAACGCAGCACCATATACAAAAGAGTTGATCTCTGTTAACTGAAAGTATACAACATGGAAATATTGTTCAAGAAATCAGGGTATATCTTTGGTCATGTAACAGCTTTAACAGTGTTTAAGAATTATTCAAAAACAATGCATTGTGTGTTGTATCATATTGCAGTGTGTTTGTGTGAGTGTGTGTGCGTGCGTGCATGTGTGTGTGTGAATATTGTGTTAAACTGCATCTAATACAAGGACTGCTTTCGCTGCATACACTTTTATGTACATGTATATGATTGTAGAGTTGTACAATGTGATGTGTACCATGATGCTCTTGTTTTGTGAATGTGTTGTTTTGTGGTATTCTATCATATTGTATTGCATTGTGTTCACATTCAGTTGTATTTTGTGGTGTTGTGTTGCATAGTGCTGTTAGTGTTATGTTGTATATCTCAGTTTTTTCACCTGCATCTACATGGATGTGACCATCGTTGTGTTGTGTTGTATATATCAGTGCTGCCACCTACATCTACATGGATGTGACCATCTTTGTGTTATGTTGTGTTGTATATATCAGTGCTGCCACCTACATCTACATGGATGTGACCATTGTTGTGTTGTGTTGTATATATCAGTGCTGCCACCTACATCTACATGGATGTGACCATCGTTGTGTTGTGTTGTATGTTGTGTTGTATATATCAGTGCTGCCACCTACATCTACATGGATGTGACCATCGTTGATAACTGACATGCCGCGGGTTAAGTTCAGGACAGCACAGATCACATTCAACATGGCGGACAGTTTCCCCAGCCACCCCAGTGGGAGGCGTAGCTGTGCCACAGGCGTCACTGCAAACACAGAGTTACATAGTACCAAGGTTCACAGCTTTTGTTTTTAAATTAGAAAATAAAATATCAATATTGTCCTCATTTTGTATGCTTACGTTTTAGCTGCAACATATTGAGTCACATTATGGCTCCACTATGTAAAGACAACTATAAATGGCTTTATGGGGTTTAGCCATACAATCATTTATTCATAAAAGTTATTAATGTTAAATCTTTGCATGTTTGCATGTTTGTGTCCCTGCCTGTCTGTCTGTCTGTCTCTCTCTCTCTCTCTCTCTCTCTCTGTGTCTGCCTGTCTGTCTGTCTGTCTGTCTGTCTGCCTGTCCGTCTTCCTGTCTGTCTGTGATATATCTGTATCTATTCAACTCCTCCTTCCACCCCCCCCCCCCCCCCACACCCCCCACTCACCAGTTGGTCCATAGTCATTCTTGTGAAGCACTCCGCCATATGTTGGCTCCACATCCTCAGCGGCTATCTGGAATGGAGGCATCATCTTTAACTGTTGACTCATGTCAGCCACGTTAACCCTGGTGTTCAGGCTCCGCGGGCTGCCATAACGCTGCTTCTGCCTCTGCAATGTGGACCCTAAAAACAGTTATTTCATATAAAAATAAATGTGGAATATGAGTAATATAGTTGGTTTGTTAGTTTTATTCCCACATATAATACAGTATATATATAGTGTATGGTAGATAGTTTCAGAGATGCTGGGCTCAATCTATCTCAATCTTCTTCATTTTTATATCCCTACATGCCTGCTTGTTATGTCAGAACTTGACTGGCATTTGATTAAAATTTACCACAACTATTACGTCTATTTGTTTTTAACTGCATCAGACATCTGTCTACAGCTTGAACCAAGACATCTGGTTGGACAACTGTGCATCTGTAATTAACATAGTTCAACAAGTCTCTTCATGTGGAGATTAAAAAATGAAGATGCTGGTACATCTCAGCTCTGAGGCTCATAAATAATTATACTTATATCATATGTTGTTTTTATACCATACCATATCATATCATATATGTTTTATTCATATATGTAACATGATGCTCTAAAATAACAGGGGCGTAACCAGACCTTTAAAAATTGTACGCACAGATTTTTAAAATTCCCAGCAAAATGTAGACTAACGCAAGAGATGAAGGACAGCGTAATTACAGCATATGTACCACACATCGCAACTTAATTTCCATTAATAATAAAATCATCATTTAGTCAGAAATATTCTCGCAATTAAAAAAGAATCAGTATTCTTANAAAATAATATAATTCCTTTATTGGGGCTGGGGGGGGGGGGGTGAATATGTCTTAAGTCAATGGCACTTATATTGAACCTCACTGTGAACTCCATTGTGTGTACATGCGTGCATTCATGTGTGCACGCATGCACATGCCACTGCATGTCTGACTTACCAAACTCCATGAAGGTGTAAGGTCTAACTGCTGCACTGACTTGCCTGCTGTCATACTGCTTTATAAACTCCTTCTCTACCTCCTCCAGGAAACAGAAACCAAGCACACTGGGGTAGGAGACATCAAGTACCGTCACCACACTGATGTTCTGAGGAGGAATGGTAATAAAACTGTAATAAAACACAAGGTTAGGATAAGCACAGCACAGTGGAATTGAAAGGACAAGTAAAATTTGAAGGTACCACGTACAATGTACCCTGTACATCTAAAGGGGTGGATCTAGAGATATTTTCTGACAGTCTTCCAAATTATCTTTGTTGATTCATCTTCCATTTTGACTGTCTTCCAACAGAAGAATTAAATCCCCATCAATGTAAACTTGAAAAAAATTTGACTGTCTTCTGGAAGGCCAAGAAGACAACCTCCAATCACCCCTGCATGTACAACAGGTAATGCAGGTACTGAGTACCTTCTACATGTTTATGATGCACACTGTACCATAACAGTGCTTTGCCAGACCTCAACACTTTTTAAATGAAGTTCAAACTGAACTTTTAACCTGATAAATGCATAAGGGTACAGGGGTCTAGGAAATAGAGATTGAGGAGAGGAAGGACAAAAACTGATTAACTTTGGACACGTCTCAACCACCACGTACGCCCCCTACAATGTCCTCTCAATGTACCTACTAGTATACTGTACATGCATATACCAGTACTGTACGCCAATTATGATCCACTTAATAATCTATCTGAGCATGATAAACAGAAAAAGATATAGCAATATGAATCACCTACTGTATCACATAGTCGTCACTTTGCAGGGTGCATCTGTCTGGTAGCTGATGCAGTTTCTTTGAAATCAACTTCACGTAACGTTGTGCATGTTTTACATTTGACCTCTGACCATCAAAATCTGTCAACGCCACCAATGGCAATCCGTCGGAAGCTCGAAATATTGAAGCAAATAGCACCATCTTGAAAAAGCTTTCTTCTTCTTCTTCTAGGGCAAAACCGCCCGCATACCTTATCTCTTCATCTGCATTATTAAAATGCTACAGTGTAATTTCAACACCTGGTAAAGTCAATCGAGTACAAAGACGAAATAAAATGCCTTTAAAGAAGTGCTTGCAACAATATTAAGTAATACAAGCCCCTATCAAGCTTCTGTGGGTCACCACAAACACACCATGATGTCACCAATTTGACATTCTTTAAAGTGAATCTCATGAACTTATTTACAATGCAACGTGTCACTAAAACTTGTTTTGGAGAGATGCCGTTTCACACCTCCAGCACAAAAGAAGTCGTAATTTCCGCTTCCGCTTGGTTTCCTTGGTGATTGTATTTGAAAGTAGTGCGTGGTTGTTTCTCTTTAACATTGCGCCTTACTACTTTTCATTCATTTCATATTCACTGTTTCTTCATTTTAATACAACATAATGAAATTAGCTTTTTCAGTAGTAAGTTTGTATCACAACTGTTGATCTTATTTTTTATATCTGCCAAAATCGGTAGACTATTTATTTTTGCTCAGATATACCTTCAGCTATGTTCTAAGGCAAATTCCCAAACAAGATGGCGGACTATGGTTACCGTCGAAAGAAAATTCAAAAGTTTCGGATAGATTAATGTTGAACTTAAATCGGTGATAAATTAATTAACCAACAAAATTGATCATGGCCGCCACACAGCCCATGACGAGAACTTTTGGCATAAATGGAACAAGAACAACAGGGAAACTGCTGGATTTGCAACTGGTGGAACCTTCGAAGCCGATCAAAGTTCCAAATCATTTATTGGATTCAAGTAAGTGCGCCTCAAATTTTGTCTGGTTCTATTCAAGAAAGTTCAAATATGCAACCAAGGGACACTTAAAGTAAATTTCGTGCTTTTTTGCTTGAATAGTGCATAGCAACTTTGACTTACCACCTGGTGTTATGTATTTTTGGGGTGGAGGGGGAGGGGGTCGCAGTGCATTGATTTTATCATTGATCATTCGAGGTGACAGGTGCAGCCTCCTCTTAATGTGTTGTAGCTTTGTTTCAACAGAACAACATATGCTGACCAAGGTGTATTAGATGTTTTAACACATGTCATTTATACCAAGTCGTTGAACTTTCTAAGTAATTGTGCCAGTACATCTAAGTGAAAAGAAGGCCCTAAACTCATGTTTGCTCACTGTGCTTTGATGATATATATGTGTGTACTGTATGGTAGGTATTGACCTAGAAAGACACATGACGCTTGCCTTAATTATCAAGTTAAACCCAGTAAATAAAAGTTTTACATTGATAATCACCCAAACACCAACTCCAGATTGATAAAAAATGAATGTTTAAGAAATCAGTGCCATTAAAGGGAAAATAGAAACAATTTTAAACTATTATATAACCTACATTACAGAGATCTATGCCAAGGTGGGTCAGTTTTACACTAGTATATAACCTACATTACAGAGATCTATGCCAAGGTGGGTCAGAACCTAGTGGTGCAGGCCACGCCCTCTATCATCTACTATGGTGGCTTTGAGCTGGGCAAGGTACACAAGGTGGAGCTCCACATAGGTAATGTGGACACAGAGGTGATCAGGATGCACGTCATTCCACCACAAACCAAGTACTTTGATATCAAGTATAAAAAACAGGTGAGAACAGCTTCATATGATGCAGAATGTACTACTAGTAATTTAAAAGCATTTATTGGTTCATTTTCTCTGAAACCAGTCTTTACTGTGATATGAGAATGTTAATTTATAAAATAAAGGGGTGATACTTAGCCCACCTGGAAAATTGTAAAACCCCAAACCCCAGGTTATTTCCAATCCATAGACAAATAATTGACAGAGCTAGGTTTTTGGTGGGATATTCCACTACCTGGCCCTACCTCTCTCCTTGATATCTTCTCCCTTTCTTGAAAATGGATGAAGAGAGTCCTCATAAACTGCAGATGAAAGTCCTCTGGATTTATTTGGAAACCTGGATATTTTCGTGTTATATTTAGTTCCCTGATATACCATTTAGAATGGTGCTTGCATTTCCAGCTTTTTTAGCAGGTCCACTTTTATGTATAAAAAACTAAGCAAATATACGTCATGCAACAATTGATATATTGTGTTTCAGGAGCGTCTTGTACCAGGGATGACACTAGACTGTGTGGTGGAGTTTATTCCTGATGAGTGGAGGTATTACTATGACTGCATCAGGATTAACTGCAAGGTAAACTGTCAATAAAAGCCTTGGTGTAAGTTTTATGTAACGGATTAACTTCTGGGTTTTTATATAATTTTGATAGCACACAGCTTTGAAAGAAAGGTGAGTTTAATAACATGCATCCTTAATATTATCATTTGTTGCTCATATTCATATGTAAGTGGTCAAATGTAGAAAAATGTCATGGAGAATCCAGGAAAAATGACACCTACTTGTTCTTATGATATTGTAAGAAGTTGAGCACTGCCCCTTTATTAAGTGGCCATTGGATAATTGGGATATTACTGATACGGTTGTATTTCTGTCCTCCAGAATGAGGAGAACCTGGTGATCCCTATCCACGCGTATCCTGTGATGAACACAGCCTCTTTTCCAACCCACGTAGATTTCCCCTCAGTTCCTATAGGACAGCAGTAAGTATTGGCTCCTGTAGGGAAATAGAGAGTTTGGATAGAACCAACTCCACAGTATAATAAACTGTATTGTTTTATGTTAGTTATTACTTTGGTCTGTTTTGTATATGATTGAATGATGTTCACCTGAACTCCTTTTTTTTCTACAATCTGTGTTCTTGTGCATAGTATCGATCGAAAAAATATCAGTGAAAATGATTTAATATTTATAAATATAAAGATACAAATGAGGTAAATGCTGTTACAAATCCTCATTATATTTATATATATATTTAAATTAATATAATATTATATTTGGTCTGCTTTCTAGATTTAGCAAGACCATTCCATTAAAGTGCGATGCGCCCATTGATTTTGAATTTCAACTGAGCTTCCTGCAGCCTCACCCAACTTTTACAGTGGAGCCTATGTCAGGTGAGTTGATGTCCAAAACTCTGTCACAGCTAACACAGTGACACAAATCACAACTCTGTCACAGCCAACACATCTTTATATTGGAGGTTGCATCAGATATCTTATGAATGGAAGATATTGATGGGTACCCATATTATATGAATTTTTAAATTGTCACTGAGATGTTCTTGAGAAATGAGCAAATAAATTTTCCTGTCATCAGCTCTCATATACTTGATGTTTTAATAAGAATCCCATCATTCCAGGCATGGTTCCAGCCAATGGTGAGGTAGAGATCACAGTGACCTTTGCCCCCACGGAGTTTCTGACAGCCCACATGAAGCTGCAACTGGTGATCTCTCAGTTCAACTCCAAGCCACTGGTCTGTACCTTCACTGGTACCTCTAAACCAGGCCTGGCCAAGTGAGTACAGATCTTACTTATAGAATTGGACTATTGCTATTCACATCGCAGTGCTGAGTCTTATGTTATGCCAGTTTGAGTAGAGAAGCAGAAATTAGNTATATGAATTTTTAAATTGTCACTGAGATGTTCTTGAGAAATGAGCAAATAAATTTTCCTGTCATCAGCTCTCATATACTTGATGTTTTAATAAGAATCCCATCATTCCAGGCATGGTTCCAGCCAATGGTGAGGTAGAGATCACAGTGACCTTTGCCCCCACGGAGTTTCTGACAGCCCACATGAAGCTGCAACTGGTGATCTCTCAGTTCAACTCCAAGCCACTGGTCTGTACCTTCACTGGTACCTCTAAACCAGGCCTGGCCAAGTGAGTACAGATCTTACTTATAGAATTGGACTATTGCTATTCACATCGCAGTGCTGAGTCTTATGTTATGCCAGTTTGAATAGAGAAGCAGAAATTAGAAGTTTAAACTATGAAAGCAGCACCCTTTATTGATCTTGATGTAGAAGGTCTGTAAAATATAAAAACACAGACAAATTTCCATAGCAATATGATGCCAGGTAGTGTGGACACGTGGAAGCCTTTCTTACAGTCAGATTTCATGGCATCCCATGTGTAGTCTTATGTACACTCTTTTACAGGGAAAGAACAGAAATGAAGCAGGATTTGGAAGAACCAGAAATGAATGGAATGCTGGACCCCAGATCTCTAACCCCTGTAGATAGGGCGCGCTCAAGGAGAGAGAAAACCAAGACAAGCCGGTCCAAACCTTCCACGTCGAGAACGCTAGGCCCACCTCAGCCAAAGGTTTGTACTTGTTACTGCCCTAGAATCACTGTGGGAGATATATCAGCAGTATGCTGACACTTATTTTGACAAATTTGAAGGTAGAGTTTGCAAGATACATGTTGTATCAGTTATATAGGCTAGAAATAGACTAGAAGGATGTAGAGGTGGCAACCAGCAATGTTTACAAGACAAGGTGGGCCCTGTGCCTGTGTTTTATAAATATCAAGGGGAATTAACTTACAGCAATGTTTACAAGACAGGGCGGGCCCTGTGCCTGTGTTTTATAAATATCAAGGGGAATTAACTTACAGCAATGTTTACAAGACAGGTGGGCCCTGTGCCTGTGTTTTATAAATATCAAGGGGAATTAACTTACAGCAATGTTTACAAGACAGGGCGGGCCCTGTGCCTGTGTTTTATAAATATCAAGGGGAATTAACTTACAGCAATGTTTACAAGACAGGTGGGCCCTGTGCCTGTGTTTTATAAATATCAAGGGGAATTAACTTCATTACCCACCTAGCAGAGATTACACTATAGTGATAATGCCAGGTTATGACATTTTTATATGGTTTAAAAATTTATTATTCCCAGGAGGTTGAGAGGGATGGTATCCGTTTTCCGCCCGGTCTGGACACGCCGTACGCCATTGCTCAGGTCCTCAACCAGCAGGCAGGAAAACTGAGGGTCAAGGACCTCAGAGACGCTATTGAGGCTGCCAAGGAGAGCTCAGCGCCATCTAGTAGACAAATGAAGGTGTGTTTGATAGAAGCAGGTGCACTGGCATGTGTGAAATAATGAACATGTGTCCATAAGGCTGATGTAGCTATCAGATATAACTAAGTCAAGAACTTACATAGTTTGTCAAATATTTTCTTTATATATATATATCATTAATAGTCATAGCAGTGATCATGTAATAAATCACAATATAGTCTTTGTAAGACTTAAATGTACTTTATAAATAACAAAGCTAAGATTAGACTCTAAAATAGACTCTCCTTCTCACATAGTTTGTATAATGAAATACAAAATGCCATTAAGATTCGCAAATTGCCCCTGAAAGGCAGAATACCTGTTAAACAATATACAAAACTGAGATTAAACTCCACATAAAGTAGCATTTGTAAAAAAAAAAAAAAAGTGTACAGAATACCGCCCAACCTCCCTATTACACCCCATGTGTCCACTGTTGTCTCCAGGAAGCAGTATTTGAGCAGGCAGTGAGGAAGAATGTTTACGAGGAGCGCCAGAACCAGCTGAGATGGCAGGTCAAAGTGGGAGATGACCCCATTCCTAACAAAAGGAAAGTGAATGTGCTGGGAGCCAGGGAGGAGGCCTGGAAAATATACAAGGTGAAACAGATAAATACTGGATGATTGTTTAACAATATTACTATTTAAATTTGTTATTAAAAGACATCAGGTTTTAAAACTTCCAGGTAATAAAATAACCGAGATCAGTAACTGTTCTTTTATAGAATACCAGACTTGATTTTTTTTATATTTAGAATTTTCATGAAATATATGCCATGCCATTGCTGTTGTTCTAGATGCAGCGAGGTGATCCCTTACCTGTTGAGGAATACAACAGAACATGTACACAGTGTACCTTCAGAAGAACAGTCAGGTATTACACTCAGGTAAACAATTTGGACATCATATTCTAAAGAAATGTAGCCCCACTAGTCACAAGTTAGGTCAAGGGTCATCTGGGATTATTAGCTAACAGGGATCCCATGCTTAGTAGCTGTCCTGGGACCCATCGTAGAAAAAAAGTGAAGCCATATTAAATATTTGGCAGTGCTTTTAGAATTTGTTCCCTGCTTTGATTATATTACATAGAATTAAAAACTTAAAATTGAAATAAAATGTTTGTACAGCTCCTAAATTTGCTGCAAGAGCTGCTAATGGATAATATACTTGTAGTGATGATGGCTTACAATGATCATTATTATTTCAGTTGGGTAAAGAAGACGTCAAGTTTGACACATTTGTCAACAACCCCTGGGCTGTCAGGCAAGCTGCACTGGATAAATTTGCTCAAGCTGCAAGAACCGTAAGTGGATTTGTTGAAATGTGAAACTATTGTGTGGATAAAGGCAGTATCCTGGGATTTTCTCCATTATTTAGACACATGTATGTAGTGTTTAAATTTAAATTTACTGCTGCAGTATTGCATATCATTAGTACTGAATGTCCTTGTAAGATTTGTTAGTGCTGAGAGGTTCCTTAGGGAAAGTGCTCACATCCACACGGGGGTGATGCCTGTCATACTGTAGAAGCTGTTAGGATAACATTTGCCTTGATGATTTCTCTTTGTGGTTTTTCACTTGAATTGTAAAAAAATGTATAGATTGAAAGAAAAAGAGATCATCAGTGTAGTCTCTCTCCCTCTTTCTCCCAGAAAATATAAAGATGGAAGTTTTTCTTTTATTCCAGGTGTTGGTCAGATGCAGAGCTGATAATAAAATCCGAGGTCTAAAAACCATGGTCTTGGACTGGGGAAAGAAGAAAGAGAAGAAAGCAAACTCAGGTGAAAATACTAGTACTCAGAAAATATTTGAGCAGACACTAACGTGTCATCTGCCTGTGTGTGTCTCAGGAGAGGAGATATGCTGCATGCTTGTATTACATTTACTTCTTGTTTAATACAGATTGAGTGAGTATCATTAACTCTGTTCACATTTAAATGTGTCATGTAATGATGTGTTGCCTAGGTGATGGAGATGAGGATGAGGAAGAGGAAGAAGAGGAGGAAGAGAGTCAGACGGGACCAGAAATGTTACAGGAGACGCTGCACTCTGAGAAGATTCACAGGCAGAATTTTCCTTACTATGTCCCTCCTGATATCAAAGATGATATGGTAACTGCTGTTATCCTTACTATGACCCTCCTGATATCAAAGATGATATTATTTTTATTTCATTAGTTGATAACAGTGAGGTCATATTTGATATTTTGGCTGTGGTGAACTTACAGCAATGTTATCTTATAGAATTCTACATGACTGTCAGTTGACCATTTTGTTCCATATATATAGATATGAGTCATTTTACTTATCATGCATATTCATCATGTATTGGTAATAATAGTAGTATGTACTTGCATTTGTCTAGCATGATTTCAGCATTTGAACTGATCAATGATTAGAAAATGAAATTTTCAACTGACTATAGTATAAAGCAATGGGGAGTACTGTCAAAATGTCACCAACAAATATCATGTATATTGTTGAATTAATTAGACATAAATTAGAAATTATAATGTTTCTTTATAGTACTAAAGACTACAGCTCATTAATCTTCCTTGCTGTCTTCCAGGCTCCAGATGCTTTAGATTTTGTCCCTGTGGAGCAAACTGAAGTGGAGGTGAAGAAGAAAGTCCCCTATTACAATCTTAAGGTAAACATATTATAATCTTAAGGTAAACACTCGCTCTAATGACTGTAAACCCTGAGGTATTGATCAAATAAGATGATGAATGTAACCTTAGGATGCATAGATATCCCCCTCCCCAAAATCTTCTTCATCAAGTGTGGAAATAAATGGGTTGATAAAATTATGTAGGGACATGAATTTATCATGATGTAAGTTTTATCAGCACTTCTATGTACTATGTTCTTATTATGAAAAATATTGATATGAAATTAGCATATGAGCTATGACTAGTGCCTACTTCAAATCTGTGTGTTTATATGCTGCATCCTTTCACATATTATGTTGTTATCAATATCAGGTGCCTCAGCAGTACAGACTACAGGGATATAAACCACACAGTGTCCAGGCGGCGTCCAGTGGCTATGTCCACCCCAGACTGACCAGGCAGTTAAGGACGGGAGCTGAGGTAAGGAAAATATCAACACTTGCTGATGCCATCACAGACATGAAGCCAAAACTTAGCAGATATCCAGTGCCTGTCATTTGATCTCACTATTCAGAGGAGTAACTGTCAGTCTTATGATTTAAATAAAGAATTCATCAATTTTGCCTGACTTGATGCTGATTTTAGCCAGTCTTTCTGTCTGTTCATGTAAAATAGTTCCACCATGTTTGTGTTGTACTTGTAGATTAAACTGCGTAGTATTAAAGTATGTAAGGGAGCTTTCAGGGGTGACAGCCACCCCCAGTTGATTATCATCTCCATCTGTCAATTAATCTGTCAATCAGTAATGACCTCCACCCCTCACTGTAAACATGTGTCATTCTATCTCCAGGATGAGGTGATTAACATCCCGGTCTGTCAATTAACCTGTCAATCAGTAATGACCCCCACCCCTCACTGTAACATTTTTCACTCTATCTCCAGGATGAGGTGATCAACATCCCCGTCCCTGCCACCATGAAGCTTGCCACCAGCCATGAGGCAGAGAAGGAGGCGGAGACAGAGAGAGAGATAACAGCGGTAGAGGCAGACCTAATGTTAGAAGATGTTCGAGGGGACGAGGCCATGTCTCCACAGCAAGAGCCAGTGACACTGAGGCCACCTGAGGCTCTGTTTAACCCTATAGAATACNTTTTATTCCCTCAAATTGATAAAACAGACTGAAGTGTCGTTACAGACGATTGACGATGCGCTGAAATTGCGCAAATCGTCAAATTACGTAACGACCGATCTACTTTAAGGTAAACACTCACTCTAATGACTGTAAACCCTGAGGTATTGATCAAATAAGATGATGAATGTAACCTTAGGATGCATAGATATCCCCCTCCCCAAAATCTTCTTCATCAAGTGTGGAAATAAATGGGTTGATAAAATTATGTAGGGACATGAATTTATCATGATGTAAGTTTTATCAGCACTTCTATGTACTATGTTCTTATTATGAAAAATATTGATATGAAATTAGCATATGAGCTATGACTAGTGCCTACTTCAAATCTGTGTGTTTATATGCTGCATCCTTTCACATATTATGTTGTTATCAATATCAGGTGCCTCAGCAGTACAGACTACAGGGATATAAACCACACAATATTCAGTTACTATATATTATGTTGTTATTATTGATATTAATCAGGTGCCTCAGCAGTACAGACTACAGGGATATAAACCACACAGTGTCCAGTTACTATATATTATGTTGTTATTATTAATATTCATCAGGTACCTCAGCAGTACAGACTACAGGGATATAAACCACACAGTGTCCAGGCGGCTTCCAGTGGCTATGTCCACCCCAGACTGACCAGGCAGTTAAGGACAGGAGCCGAGGTAAGGAAAATATCAACACTTGCTCACGCCATCACAGACATGAAGCCAAAACTTAGCAGATATCCAGTGCCTGTCATTTGATCTCACTATTCAGAGGAGTAACTGTCAGTCTGATGATTTAAATAAAGAATTCATCAATTTTGCCTGACTTGATGCTGATTTTAGCCAGTCTTTCTGCCTGTTCATGTAAAATAGTTCCACCGTGTTTATGTTGTACTTGTAGATTAAACTGCGTAGTATTAAAGTATGTAAGGGAGCTTTCAGGGGTGACAGCCACCCCCAGTTGATTATCATCTCCATCTGTCAATTAACCTGTCAATCAGTAATGACCTCCACCCCTCACTGTAAACATGTGTCATTCTGTCTCCAGGATGAGGTCATTAACATCCCGGTCTGTCAATTAACCTGTCAGTCAGTAATGACCCCCACCCCTCACTGTAACATTTTTCACTCTCTCTCCAGGATGAGGTGATCAACATCCCCGTCCCTGCCACCATGAAGCTTGACACCAGTCATGAGGCAGAGAAGGAGGCGGAGACAGAGAGAGAGATAACAGCGATAGAGGCAGACCTAATGTTAGAAGATGTTCGAGGGGACGAGGCCATGTCTCCTCAGCAAGAGCCAGTGACACTGAGGCCACCTGAGGCTCTGTTTAACCCAATAGAATACCCACCACTACATATATTTGTAAGTACTGTCATGTTTATAATAACTACAGTAGTACTAAAGTGGTATTACCCCTCAATTTTGGCTGTCAAATATGTGCATATAGATAATAAAGTTACCATTGATCTCTGTTCCCCAGAACCCGGCCCCAGGACTACAGGTGTTCCAGACCCCTCTCCCATATGCTGAGGTGGACCAGGACTTCCACCTGTGTCCTCTACCCAGATACTACAGGAATGATGAACACAATCCACACGCCACAACACAGAAGAAATACCTGGACAGGGAGGTGAGAGGCTGGCTTCACTGAATGGTGTTATTGATGGAGTTCACTGTTTACATTTTCACTGGGTATTGTGGCCTACCAACTGACCAGTGCTGGTATTGAGGCCTACCACCTGACCAGTGCTGGTATTGTGGCCTACCAACTGACCAGTGCTGGTATTGTGGCCTACCAACTGACCACTACTGGTATTGTGGCCTACCAACTGACCAGTACTGGTATTGTGGCCTACCAACTGACCAGTACTGGTATTGTGGCCTACCAACTGACCAGTGCTGGTATTGTGGCCTACCAACTGACCAGTGCTGGTATTGTGGCCTACCAACTGACCAGTGCTGGTATTGTGGCCTACCAACTGACCAGTGCTGGTATTGTGGCCTACCAACTGACCAGTGCTGGTATTCTCGGTGTAGCTGTAAAGTACCAATATCCTGTAGTCACTCCATTCATTCATTCATTCATTCCAACAAGTTGATGTGTCTGCTTAATTACAAAACTACTTTTAATAAACTTTTTGTTGGATGGAAACTTTTTACAATGTACATTTTCTCTCACTGGAGATCTGAGTGTAGCTGTAATCTCTGCATGTGTCACTATTCTGTAATCACTTTATTGATTTATTTATTTATTCTAACAAACTGAGTTCATCATTAAACTAGCATAAATATTTGTTGGACTGAAATATTTTTAAAGGTTATGCACAATTTTTTCTTTAAAGAACCGTTATTTGACATGACATCGTACATGAGAATTGAAAATCAAATGACAATTGAGAATTGAAATTGAAAATTACTGTATTACTGATTTAAAATATAAATAGAAATTTAGGCATATACCAGCTGCTTGTCTGTTATCTTGCAGGACATTGTTTAAGGAGCCATGGTATAGAATAATAACAAAAATAATAATAATAACAATGGCAGTGTTTATCAGCTGCTGATTTATTACATTGCAGGACATTATTAAAGGAGCCATGACATGGAAGAAGTTTCCATCCCAGGGTTTGACATCTTTGGCTAACACCCCAACTCTAACCAATGTCTGGGTCCCCAGATGGTGAGTTGTCATAATAATAATAATAATAATAATAATAATAATAATAATAATAATAATGGGGTCCACAGATGGTGGTTACCTTGGAGTGAAAAATTAATATTTCTGAACAAATAATAAAAATGGGCACTGCTTTATAGTAAACTAGGCCCTGTTATCTGAGAGAATTTTAGGATGCTGTTAGGTGAGTGGTATATCTATAGTGCCTCAACCAGGTGTCATGTGTTTACTATTCCCAGGACTGACCCATTCAGTAATGACATGTCCATGTATTCTATACCCAGGACTGACCCATTCAGTAATGACACGTCCATGTATTCTGTACCCAGGACTGACCTATTCAGTAATGACACGTCCATGTATTCTGTACCCAGGACTGACCCATTCAGTAATGACACGTCCATGTATTCTGTACCCAGGACTGACCCATTCAGTAATGACATGTCCATGTATTCTGTACCCAGGACTGACCCATTCAGTAATGACACGTCCATGTATTCTGTACCCAGGACTGACCCATTCAGTAATGACACGTCCATGTATTCTGTACCCAGGACTGACCCATTCAGTAATGACATGTCCATATATTCTATACCCAGGACTGACCCATTTAGTAATGATATGCTGCCAGAGGAGGTCCCACTGCTGTTTGATGGCCTGGCAGAGGAGGACAAGGAGCACATCATGGATGAGGAAGACCAAGGGGATGATGACCACACCAAGATTGACCCTATCCAGCTGACCCCAGAGATGGTCAATGCTCAGTTCTCTCTCATTGATCCCTCGCAGGTCCCTGAGGAGAAAGACAAGCATGCAAGGTGGGTGGGGCACGTTGGGTGGGTGAGGCAGGGCAGGGGGTGGGGCATGTGTGGGTGGAGCATGGTAGATGGGTGGGGCACGTGTGCAATGCATGTTATGTGGGTGGGACATTGGATGATCAAGACTGTAACAAATAATCTTAAATTGTGCAATTTGGGCATGAAACCTTGAAATTTCAGTTTTATCAGTTAGATCCGAAAATGAAGCTAAACAAGTGCTCAGTGGAGTGTTATATTGTTTGCAATGTGTTCAGTAATGTCATTGTTGTGATTTCAGTGAGGTCTTCCCCCATGGTAACAAGATGCCCCTGACCAATGTGCCTGTGGGGGTGGCTGGCCCTGTGCCCAGGTACATGGAACTTGCTTCTGTACACATACACTGTTCGCGCACACACACACACACACACACACACACATGCTGAAACCTGCACAACCACTCAGTCCAATAATGAACAGAGGTGTTACTATTTTAATTTTGATTTCATTTTTTTTTTGTTTGTTTGTTTTAGAGTAGACAGTTTCAGTACATAGTTTCATTGGTATAAGTCATGTCATTGCTTTTAATCAATGAATGAATTTCTTTATTTATTCATTTATTTATTAATTTCGATTTCAGAGAAAAAAGAGAGCAGGAGTTGGACTTTTTCCTGAATAAAAAATATAACAGACTGGGTTCTAAGATCCAGAGTCGTGTGGACACAATGAGTAAACTAACCACCAAACCAGAGCTGATTTTAAAGTGAAGGAGATTTTTATACCTAGGTCTCAAGAACAAACAAAGAAGATAAAAAAACTGCGGCTCATTTCGAAGTGAGAAAGATTTTTATACATGGATTTTAAGATCCATCTAATAAAATAAAAGATTTTATTTCCTATTGAAATGATCAGTGATCTGAAGGTGTGATTACGGAGAATTCCAGGATATATTCAGCTACCAATTGTGAGGATTCATTCTGGACCAGCAGAAGCTGATTTCTTGCTAACTGAAGATGGGTGGCATTCTTGTCTGGCAGGTGTGTGACTGCTGAGAGTTCAGCGTTAATGGCTACATTGGGGGTGGGTGTCTTGCTGTCCCTTTCTCCTATAGATGTCCCTGTGGTTCTGATTTCTCTCTGCTAAGACACACCGAGGACATCAGTTCACAGTGTGGTGAAGATATTCATTGAACACTTGGTGTCATTTTTGTCTGGAGAACAGCCTTCATATTAATGAATGAATGGATGACTCCTTTGAAATCCAGATTTATTGTATTATTTCATAGTTAAATACTTTTTAAAAATCTGCTGGAATATCCAAATTGAAATGCATTTTTAAAGAAACCTTGATGCCTTTGTCATCCAGTCAATTTATTAATTTCAAGATACCTTTTCTTAACTATTCTTACTTATAAGTATAATAATTTTGTTTAGTTCTCTCAGTTTTATTCGTAAACTTCAAAGTCGCATTATAATAATATTCTGTTATAAAGATTGATTTACAGCAGGATTTTACTATAAAAACTTTGTATTTTTCTTACACCTGGTACTTTTTGATGTATCCGTCCAACTCTTGGCCATATGTTGACTGATTTCTATATTGATTTTGAATAACTTTACGTATAGTTTGTAAATATATTTAATCTTTCATTTTATGTTACATCTATTTGTACAGTGTATTCAGCGTTGTAAATAAACAATTTTTTACAAAGGTATGCACGGTCTTAATAATATTTCCTGTGGTTCTGTAATATTTGTACTGGTGTTTTCAAAGCAATTTACCTGAGTTGTCAGGGCCTAGTCTACGATATACATTAAGTAGACATTAGTCTACAGAATGCCTTGTTACACCTACATGTACAGCTGGTCATGGTGTTGCCCAGAGTGTCACACAGAGACGTATTGTTGTGCGTTAAAGGGGGGCGTCTCGATAGTCCGAAGGTTCATTGGTCCGAAGGTTCATTGGTCCGAAAAATGGTACTATTTTCATCGATTTTTTAATCAAGGGTTCATTGGTCCGACGGTTCTATAATGAACATTCGGACCAATGAACCTTCGGACTATCGCTACGTCCCCCGTTTAAGTACTTTGTGACGTGACGTTTCCTATTAAGGGCACTATTTCTAGAACTTATTCACCTTAGAGCCGCTATTTTGCCATATTGATCTCTGTGTGTAGGTCCCGCAGAGAATGTCAAATCAGTGGTCTCAGGGGCTGAGCAGCTGCTTTGAAATGGTCTCTGTCTCATCACGCTTCTTGTTCCTGTGACACTCAGGGTAAAAACGCGGACGAAGGTGGTGAAGACTGTATTGTGGACTGTCTCAGCTCGTCCTGCTGCGGTAGTTTACTCCGCCGCAGATATTCGCCTGAAAGTTTGACATAACACCGGGACAAAAGGAAGTTTTATAAAACACCCTTTCACGTCATTGTGCTGCTATATGCAATCGCACGTTCAAGCTGGGTAACAAATCAGGCCGGTATACCCGTGAGGAGAGAGTATGACCAGAGGATAGAGACCTTAAAACAGAGACGTAACCAGAAAAATATTGTTAATTTTGTAACTGTAGGCCATATCAATATCTGATGAACCAGCGTTCATGACTTGTGTTGGTTGACATAACCTCTATGTATGTCGTCTTGATTACTTAAACTGACTTGGTTATCAGTCACACCAAGGCAGGTTGATCCCTGAATGTCTTCAATGTCAACACATTACATCAAGCACAGTAACTGTTGTCACAGACTGCTGGGGACCAGCGCGTTCTAGTTAACAGGTAGACGTCGCAGACTGGCGGAATGTACCCTCGTGTTCTCCTACCTTTCTTAATGCTGGTCATCCCCCTGGGGGCCGCGGACACTGGTCAGTCTGGTCAGTGTTCGGACATCTTAGTGTCCGGCAAGTACCCCATCCCAGACAGCTCTATAACAGCGTCTTCGTACTTTAACATAGACACCTGGTGGTACAAGCACCTTCCACGGCAAGCACGCATTCACCTGGTGTCTGATGATAATGGTAATGGTGGGTGGAGTGCCTATAGTGGAGGCGGCCAGGAATGGCTGCAATTTGATTTAGAATTCCCAAGATTGGTAAGCTGGATTCACTTCTGTATGCAAATGTAGCTGCTGATAGCTGGCCATGTGTCGTCTCTGGGGATGCACCTCGATTGAAGCCAGGCAATGTGACTAAATTGGGGGGGGGGGGGAGGGG